GGGGGGCAACTTTTGCCATAGCCTTGCCTTGCTTACGCAGGCACATGGAATGGGACGACGTTGACGTATCCGGGCTGATGATTTCCAAACCCTGTCCCGCCCCCAGCGGTCGTGCCTCGCCGTCCCAAGCCTAACTGCCGGAGCCGCGCGCCAACTTTTCCCGCTGTGTGTGCGTGGTTGGCATCCGTTCAGATGGTTGTGAGCTCATCGGCTGTAGGTTTCGGATTACCCCCCTGCCTTGAAACGACGCGATCAGACGGAGACGGAGCTTGGATTTTGTGATCACGGAAACGACACACCTCAATCATTGACCTGGGGCTCGCAAAGTGGCACTGGTTGAGGTGAATTATATTCATTAAAAAGTAAAAGAAGAAAAGAGATACATAATGCACCCATGTAGGAACGGGCAACAAGCAAGACCCCAGCTCTCGGTGTCATTGCCTTCCAGGCAGACGAGAGCCGGAAGAGAAACAACAAACTCAAGGTTAAAAAGATAATATGGGAGGGCGTGATGGCGGAGATGGGACATTATTAGGAGGGGGTGGACATGGTTCGTTCGTGACAGGAATAGCAACATCAACAAGGAGAGCATAACACAAAAAGCAAAACAAAGAAGACCCGGTTCGTCACCTCGACGGGCGCAGGTGCTCGACGCCGAGCCCTATAAACTCAAACAAGAGCGGTATGCCCTCAACGCTGAGCCATGCGATGCCTGCAATGACGTATAGGACTCTGTTAGCTCTTGGCGCTGTGGAAGTCGAGCAAAGGATGGAAAGAATAGACAGCAACTTACCGCAGTAGACAATCAGCTTGGTGACCACCTCGACGTCGTACCTCACGCGTGGCTTGACGAGCCTCTCAAACATCTCCATGTCGCCCAGCTCGTCCTGATGCGCGACAAACATGTCGGGCTCGTCGTCGCCATCGTCGGCCGTGGGGCTGAGTACCACGGTCCCCTGGCCCATCATGGACTCGTACTCGGCCAGCGTACCGCCGCTGCGCAAGGCGTGGCCGTGGCCGGTGGGGGACGTCGGGACGGGGCTCTGCTGGCGGCCCGAGGTGTAGGCCGCGACGGCGCCGTCGCCGCCGTCGCTGGCGGCCTCCTCGCGTAGGTCGCGCAGGCTCGGCTTGCTGCCCAGGCTCGCGTTGCTGCCGATGCTCTCGCGGCGCCTGCGCTCGCGGTACGCCAGCGTCTCGTAGGCGTCGGCCGCGCTCTGCGGGCCGATGCTAACGCTGCGCCCGCGCCGGCCGCCCACGCGCCGGATGTTGCGCATAATGTCGGGCAGCTCGCTGATGGCGGGCAGGACCGTGTCTGTGCGCAGGCGGAGCAGGTCCGGTATGTTCTTGTACTCGCTCGCGCGCATGAAGAAGCGCCGCGGCAGCGACAGGCCCCGGTCCTCGATGGCGCGGAACAGGGAGGGGAGGGCCTTGAGGAGGGCGGGCTTCATGGCCTCGCGCCAGGCGAAGATGACGAAGATGCCCGACACCAGCCGCGCCGCCACCGTGGGCCAGCCCAGGTCCGCCAGCGGGAAGGGGTGCGCGGCCGGCCAGGCGAAGGCGGAGCGGCCGTAGTGCCACGAGCCGGCGTCGACGCCGATCATGACGCCGGCGAAGGCGACGCTGTCGTCGAAGCAAGGGCAGTCGTCGGCGGGCTCGGGGTGGATTCGGACGAGGACGACGATGACGAGCGCGAGTACCAGGGGCGCGCGCCAGGTACTCTCGTGCATGTAGGCGGTCAAGACGGGCCCGAAGTAGAACTCGACGCACGAGATGGCGGCGCCCATGGCGGAGCCGACGATGACGTCGAGGAAGCCGTGCATGCCGCAGTATAGGCGGCCGAGGACGATGGAGGCAGCGTAGAAGTAGCTCAGCCCCTCAAGGAACAGCTTGGTGCGGGGCGCGAGCGTGTTGCTGGGGTCGTGGAGCATCAGGATGGCCAGGACGGTGACCGAAACGGCGTTGGCAGAGTGCGTCGACGGGAAGCCGTACTCGAGCGCGGCGGAGCCCGACATGGTGATGCGGTGCAGCGGCGGCGAGAGCGGCCGGGGTAGCGAGAGCATGTCCTTGAGGAAGCCGGTCAGGAAGACGCCGGAGCCGAGGATGTGGATGAGCCTGGGGAGCGCGGCACGGGCCGGTCAGCAACAAGGGGCGAGCGAGGATCAAAGGCGGCGCAGGGAGAGGCACTCACGACTGGCCAAACTCCTTGAAGCCGCACCAGAACATGATGGGCAGGCCGATCATGAAGAAGGTGTGGGTGCCCAGGTTGGCCGTGATGGCGAAGTAGCTGTCGAGGGCGGGCGTGCGCATCTTGCTCTGCATCCAGGCCAGGTACGGCGTCTCCCACCGCACGAGGGGCAGCATCTTTTGTCGCAGCGAGTACCTCCATTGGGGGAGCGCGCGCTTGTCTGAGAGAGGATGGTGGTCAGTCGGTTAGGCGTGATTCTCAGTCCTGGCTTCCAGTTCCTTGTCGCCCCCCTTGCGCGGGGCATCACGGCAGAGCAGCAGACGTACAGTGGTGCAAGCTCTTGAGTCCGGCGTCGATCACGTCGGCGCCGTCGCCCTTGCCGTGCGCATGGGCGTAGTCGCCATGAGTGGCGGCGCCGGCGGCGCCGGCGGACCCGTCGGCGGAAGTCACCAGCACTGCCGGGCGCGGTGGCTGGGGGTGGGCAGAGCCGTTGGGGGCCTTCTTGGTGTTCTTCTTGGGTAGCAGCTGCGAGCCGGGGCTCGAGCCGCGGGCTGTCGAATTCATGTCGGCGCCGACTTGGCAGGCATCCAAGCTCGTGAGTCCGAGAGCGAAGAGAAGCAGAGGGAAGAAGGCAGCGGATGGCGCCGCAACGCGCCTGCGGTTCGTCAGTCGTTGGGCCCCGCGAGGGTGTGGGAGGGGCCTGCCGAGTCGAGGTCGTGCGACAGTTGAGACTCGGCGAGGGCCCGTCTCTCTTGATTTTGGCAGCCTTGGGGTTCAATTCCACGTTCAATGTATTGGACAAAGAAAGATCAGACCTAGTCGAGATGAGGCCGCAACACAGCAAAGCAAATTGAAGCGCAATTGAATTCCGGCAACTGCGACGTTGCGCCCTGCCGCAGGCAGAATAGAAAAAAATCCGTCAACATTGAACTTCTCAATCGCAACGTCACCCACTTCGCAGTCGCCCCGGTTATTTCTTGGGTGCTCCCGCAACCCGAATCTGTTTGGTCTGTTTGAGAGGGGCGAGGCACACGCACTGGCTGGGATCTTTACTGCACGATCGCCTGGGGGCCAGGGCCGGGTCATTGATGGATGGCGAGCAAGCCCCAGCCCCCACTTCGATGCAAGCCCAGGGCCCTTAATTGATCCTCACGGCAGGCTGGCACCACACCGCGCCCTGCCAGTGGCGCCGCTGAGACGCTACGCAAAATTGCAAGCAGCAGAATAAAAGAGACCGTCGCCAGGAAGGCGTACTGCGTATTGGATTTGGCAACCCGCGTATCTTGGCAAGTACTGCATATTTGGGTCCATTGATGCATTTATCCCACCACACGTGATCGCCAGGGGAAACAACACCAACATTTACCTGCCAGGTACCAAAAAAAGAAAAGAAAAAAAAAGACATGGCCGCCGTCACCCAAAAGCTGGCCGGCAAGCTCGCCGTCATCACCGGCGGCGGCTCCGGCATCGGCCGCGCCGTCGCCAAGCGCTTCGCCGCCGACGGCGCCAGCTGCGTCCTCGTCGGGAGGAGTTCCATCAAGCTCCGCGAGACCGTTCTGGCTCTCGAGCGGCCCGCCGACCACTCCATCTGCACCGGCGACGTCACCAAGCCCGAGCTGTGGGACAAGCTGGCCCTCCACTTTGTAAACCCTCCCCTACATATCTTCTCCCGGACTGGTTGCGTGTTGTTTCCATCACATGGGTAGTGCATATACCTACCGAAACGTCCCTATTGGGCATCCCGCTAGGAAATATGGTCAGACTAAGACTAGCAAACACCTCGTGCGAACCCGGGCCCGCAGAGAGACATGGCAATACTGGTCAACGCGGCCGGCATCTCGCAAAACAGGCTCATCATCAGGTTGCAGCCCGAGACCATAGACGCCGTCATCGACACGAACCTCAAGGGCACCATCCTGGGCTGCAAGGCTGCCGCCACCGCCATGATCAAGTACAAGAAGGGCTGCATCATCAACGTGTCCAGCATTCTCGGCGTCCAGGGCGGCCGTGGAGCGTCAGCTTATGCCGCTTCCAAGGCCGGCGTTCTCGGTCCGTCACTTTTGTTTTTTTTGTCTCTTTCCTTTTCTGCATCCATCCGCTCAAGGCCCATGGCACTACAGCCAAGGGAGCGAGCGGATGGAGATGATATATAGTACCGCCTGTACTGTATTTGTATTTGCATGTCTCAAGGAACTAATCGAGTCCCCTCAATGTCCCACCACAGGCCTCACACGATCCCTCGCTGCCGAGCTTGGCGGCGCCAACATCCGTGTCAACGCCATCATACCAGGCTTTGTGAGCGGCACGGGAATGACACCAGGCAAGTAAATCCTCCTTCGAGCCTCCTCTCGAAATCTCTTGCACTTGTCAAGCCTTGTTCGTGACTCTTCCGTTTTTTTCTCTCTCCTTGGCTTCCCTTCTTCAGAGTCGCCGTCCCAAGCGGCCTAATGAATAGCCAGCCAGTCGTTGTGTCTAAATAGGCACCATGTGGGCCATGGCGATCGTCTATCCATTCTAAGGGAATAAAATAAGGGCGGGAAAATGATAAAGACGCGAAGAGAAAGGAAAACGTACCCAGACAAGTCAAGCATCATGGCCTGCAGAATGGCCATAAACTAATTTACATGTTTCACAAATCATCAGAAATCGGCGATAAAGTCAACTCCATCCCACTCCGTCGCATGGGGACGCCAGAGGAAATCGCAGACGCCGCTGCCTTTCTCGCCACCAACGAGTACGCGAGCAATTGTATGCTCAACATCGACGGTGGCTACAGCGCCGTGTAGGGTCGAGTCGGGTAATGCATAAAAATAAGAGAAGGACGCCCGACACGAGAGAGAGAGAGGCCGCGAGGCCGCGCTCAAGGTTCGGATAGGTCAGTCAAGCACGATGATCCCCGCTGCTGTGGCTTTGTCGGGGGTGTCGTCGATGAGGATTTCGTCCCCGCCAGTCTTGGCCTTCTTCGGATCTCGAGAATCGGTGTCATCCTCGTGAGGGCGTTTGATGCCCTGAGAAGTCGGCGAGGCCCCGGAGACATCTTGTTTGGTCGTACCATTGGACATGGCCACTCCATTCGTCTCGGGTTCAGGCGACTTCTTCGGCTTCTTGGGGATTTCTGGCTTCTTGTCGAGCCAGAGACCCTGAACGGGCTTCCCGCCTTCAGGCGCGCTGTGATAATCAAAGGGAATGGTTAGAATAGGATTGGGTTTCACGGCAAAGAAAGAAAAAACACTTACCCTTCTTGAATGCTGATGACAACATTGACGAACGGCTCCTCATCGTCATCGTCAATGATAGTGATGAAAGTGTCAGGTTTGATTCCTGCACATTGGTGTTAGTGGCTGGCCCTGTCACTCAACCTTATCAAGTCCTTCGCCGAGAGATATCTTGTGACTTACCGAGATCAGAGAGTTTCTTGGGGAGATTCTCGATCTCCTCGACGTCGTATAGGCATCCGATATCGTTATTGACGCTGAACTCCTTGCCTTGGAAGCCTAGCTCAAGCTTGATGAAGGCCTCGACAAGGTCCTCCAGCGTCGCACATGACAGGTCAACCGACACACTCGTCTGGAAAACACTGCAGACGGGGCAGTCTGGGTTGGGAAGCCGTGACCGGGATGGCGCGATACGGCGATCTGGGTTGAAGGGTGTCAGGAAGGCCTCTTTGGCAGCCTCATAGTCGCCCCGCAGGACCTTGAATGTCTCTAGGACACAGAGCCCAGCCACAATGGCGTTGGTAGTGGCAATCGCCGGGATAATGTTGCCCGCCATCTGCTTGATGTCGAATCGGGACCTAGGCTCTATGCCAAAGACGGTGGACCGGATGTTCGCGCTGGCCGTCACAAAATCGAGCGTGTCCTCGTCGTCCTTGTCAAACTCAATCGTCGGCTCGGGGCCCGAAGGTGACTTGGCCTTCTGGTCCACCACCCGCTTGCTCAGCCTGCCAAGGCTGTCGACAAAGACGGCAAAATTCTCTTCCAGGGACCAGACCTTCTGGCCATTCCTGAGGATGGCCTCTGTCCTTCCAAGTGCTTCGGACGACTTTTCCTTGAGGTCGGCAAATTCGAGCGGGGATGGCGGTTTTTTGCCGTCTTTCCACATGTCCTCCATGGACCTCAGCCGTTCGACGTCGGCCTTGAAGACCTTGTCGAAGAGCATTTGCGCGAATGGCTCGCTGCCTACGGCCTCGCGGATCTTCCTCAGCGCCTCGGCCTCGCGCTTCAGCTCCTCAACCTCGTTCGCATTATCCTGATCCGCGCTGTGGTCGATGACCGACTGGTCCTCACTGGTGCCGAAGATCTCGTTCAGCAGGTAACTCTTGCCCCATACGATGCAGTGTATAGGCTGGCTCGGCGTGCTCCTGATGGTGCACACCGGGAACGACTTGGGCGGGTCCTTGGGCGTGCAGTCGTAGCAGGCAGTCACGCCCTTTTTGATCACCTGCACCTGGCCGTTGAAGCCAGTGGTGCCGCTGTCGATGAGGGGCACATCGGCGGCCAGGCACATCTTGTTGACGTGTCTGCGCGCATCAAAGTTGTCGAGGGCATTGAAAACGACCTTGAAGGATCGGAACCAGGCGACGTTGAATTGGGGGTCCTTGATGTCGTTCCAGTGTGCGACAATCTTGACGCTGGGGTTGAATTTTTGCGCCGCCTCTTTGGCGATCTCGGCCTTGGGTCGCTTGATGTGCTCGTGTCGGAAGAGAAACTGGCGGTTGAGATTGCTCAGGTCGATCGTGTCGAGGTCTACGGCGTGGATTTCTCCAAACCCGGTCAAGGCCAGGTTCTTGAGTAGCTCGCAGCCGATTCCGCCGGCGCCGACCATCAAAACACACGCCTGGAAGGTTGTTAGCTGAAATTCCCCCAAAAGCGGCAGGCGCGTTTGATTGTGGATAGCACAGCCGTCGCAACGCCTACCTTGGTACCCAAGGAGGTGATCTAGCGAGGACTCACTTGTTTGACATGGGCATTGAGCGCCCGTCCCAACGACTGGCTGTTGAAGGAATCGCGGTTTCGGAGAGGAGGAGCGGGCGCTGCCGCCGGGGGCGGGTGCCGAGACTGAACCGTGTATTGCGCCGTCGGCAGCGCAGAAGCTGGAGGGTATGCCTGCTGCGGCGCGACGGGCGCGGACACGGGCGCGGGAGTGGGAACGTCGGGCGGTGCGGGCGCGAGGCTCTGGGCAGACGAGCCCTGGGTGCTGTCGGACGTGGCCATGCTGGGCGATGATGCGGTCTTGCGGGTGCCGCAACGCGGCGGAGGCAGCTGTGATCGCGTTATCAAGGTGCAGAGCGCCGCATTAGAAGCGGGCGAGTGAGGCAGGGCTGGCTGCTACGGCGTAGACAATCTGAGTTCTGAGTTCTGGGTTCTGGATTCTGGAGTCGGGGTCTGAATGGCGACGTCCCTGCTTGAGAGGCCGATCGGGGGAGGATGTGCTGGACCGGTTCGAGGCGTGGGAGCTGTGGTGCGACAAAGGTTGGCGCACGTTGTTCGCGACTCGATCAATCAGTGAATGGAATGGCTGTAGGTGTCTGCGGTCTTGCCCTGCGCTGTCTGTTACCTCGAGCTGTCACAGGTTGACGTAATTGGTAGGTGCGTCTCGCTGGTGCCAGCAGGGTACCTACACACAGGCGCCAGGAACTGGACCAAAGGGGTTAGGGTTGTCGTACGGCGGACCTGGACCCTGCAGTTGAGAGGATAGCGTTGAGAAACTCCGGCCAGCCCAGTCCATTGTGGCTTTGGATTTGTTTTTTTTGTGTCATGTCCGAGTCGGTGACGCCGTATGGCCAGATGTGATGTGTTGTACTGTCCAACTGGGCTGTAATCCCGATCACATACCAAACAAAAAAAGAAAGAAAAAATGGGTAGCCAGCTGAGAACCTACAGCCGTGCAAGGTTTCACTGCCCCTCCAGGCGACCCGCAGCCACTGCTTGCCGCATTCTGCTTAAGCTTGACCTGCCCTGTTGAAGTCCGGCACCGACAATCACCCTGGGGGCACATGATTTATATCCCAGCCGCCTGCCAGGGACACCGCTTGGTGGTGAATTCTTCCACCAAAACAACAGGCAACTGCCTCCTCGTAAATAACGAGACAGCGCCTAGACGGGAACCATCTACTTTGACCAGCAGCCCCGCAAACCAAAAGACAGAAATGTCCGACGACGAGGCCGACCCCGAGCTCCTGGAGCTGCTGCGGCAGCACATCCAGGGGCGGCTCAATGTGAGCGACGAGCCCGAGACTGGCGTGCTCGATGACGCCGAGTACGTCTACGACAACTCGATCGACGTTGCCCTGGACATGCGGGGCACCAAGAGCGCCGCCGAGGCCATCTACTCGGTCATGCAGCACCGGGGCTACTCGACCGCCACCTGGAGCGAGCACGAGCTGCACCCAAAGGACAAGGACGACGCCACCGTCGCTTTCATCTTCACCATGGACCTGCTCAACTTCAGCTTCTGGTCCGAACTGCCCGACGGCCAGCGCTTTGCCGTCGAGTACCGCGGCAGGACCTGGACCGGCTACTGGAGCCTCGTCGCGGCCCTGCAGAGGGCGTTGGATGAAGGTAAGTCGCCTTTGACTGCTCTGACTCCTTTTCTGCCTCGGTTTGGTTGTGAGAGACGATAGTTGGCTATGGGAGGCGCTGTCCCCCACCGCTATAGCCCATAACCACGGACATCAGGAGTGGTAGTGTTGAACGTGACCATGAACAACCCAAAAAAGATATTCCAATCACAAGCTCCGACTTTTGGCAGAGCGAGGACGAGTGCAACATGGAGTTGATGAAACACGTTTTCCGCTCCGCTACGGACGAGGAGATGCCCCTGCTAGAGGAGCGCCTCGCCTGCCTTCGCGAGGCTGGGCAGGTGCTCTACGAAGTATGTCCCAACTCCCTGTGCATAAAGCTGTATAAGAAGGAAAGAAGAAACAAAGAAAGCGGCCGCGTGTGGAAGCCTATGAAGAGAGGCGGCAACAAAGTAACACCTTGCTTACTCCACGATCCCACCCACCCCTCCGTCCCCCCCATCGACAGAAGTACTCGTGTAGCCCCGTAAACGTGATCGCCGCGGCCGGCAACTCGGCGGCGCGGCTAGTGAACATTCTCGCGCGCGACTTCCCCAGCCTGCGCGACGAGCACCGGTTCGAGGGCCGCAGGAAGCCCGTCCGGTTCCTGAAGCGCGCCCAGATCCTCGTCGCCGACGTCTGGGCCTGCTTCCAGGGCGAGGGCCACGGCGCCTTCGGGGACGTCGACAAGCTCACCATATTCGCCGACTACCGGATCCCCCAGATCCTCTGCACCATGGGCTGCCTCGGCTTCAGCCCGCCCCTCGACAACGCCATCCGGGCCAAGAAGCTGCTGGACTCGGGGGGAACCTGGGAGCTGCAGTTGAGAGGTGAGCTTGGCTTTTCTTCTTCTTCTTCTTCTTCTTCTTCTTCTTCTTCTTCTTCTTCTTCTTCTTCTTCTTCTTCTTCTT